ACAAGTAATTAATATTACTTAGTTGGTAACGTAGTTAGAAATTGATGAGATCATTAGGCAATCGACATAAAATAAAAAAAAAACTTAAGATATAAATTAATTAAAATTTAAAAAATTATAGACAATCTTAACTTAATTGAAAATTAAAAATTTTAGAAAGTATAACATTAATTAGGTAATTTATATAAAATTTTAAAATTAATTGAGATATAAATTTAAAATTTTAAAAAGGTTGTTAGACAATGTTTACATAATAAGTTGAAAGTTAATAATTTAGAAGATATGGATTATATATCATTTTATTATAGTAATAATTAAATAAATATTTTAATTATTATTAATTTAATTTTTATGGTCTTCACATACTTAATATTCTAATTTTAGGTATCTATAAACTAAGAATTCTCTTATGTCGCACTACACAATATTGGACATTAATTAATTTATATATTTTAGGTAATAATTTTAGACCTTTATTATAGTTTGTAATTTTATGTTTAAAAATTTAAATAATATACAAATTATTAGCTATGTAATGTTAGACAATAAAAATACGAATTACAAATTAAAATTCAAATATAAATTAAATTTAGGAGATATGGGTTATTAGAAACTAAAAAGCATAAGATATATGATATTATATAATTTAGAAGATATAGATTTAAAATTAAAATATATTTTTATTACAATTAAGTTAGTAATAATTAAATGAATATTTTAATTATTATTAATTTAATTTTTGTGATTTTCACATTCTTAATTATATATTTATTTTATGGTTGATTTTATGTGCTTAGTTATCTAATGTCATATATTGTGGTTGTTAGGATTGATCAAATGTGAGTGAACTTTAATTTTTCGTTTGAGATTGAATATAATGCTTAAACAATTAATATATAATTATTGTATTGAATCTTGAATTTTTCTTTTTATAATTTGGAAAAATAGATATTTTTATAGTTGATTAGTGTACATGTATTGACTTTTATTTTAAATTTGATAAGATTTTAATTTACTGCATTTTTTGTTGTTCTTTAGATGCATACTTAATTGTGGTGGATTTGATGTCATCATGCACTTTCATTGTATGTACAATTAGAGAACAATGTGAAATTTTGTCAAATTTAATGCATGGGACGACTTGACATTTATGTATTAATCAAGTATAAAAAAATCCTTTCTAAATGGGTAGGGCAACACCTTATATTAAAAGATGAGGTTTAAATGAATTATGTCATATGAACCTAGTGATGGATTCGAGTTGGATTAACTGTTTACGCACTAGTATAAAAGAGACATTTTACGTATGTTATTTTAGACTTTTTATGTCGAAAAAAAGTTCGATGTCAATGCGGGAGACGTAAATTTACATCGGGTGTTTTAGCTGACGTAAAATTACGTTGGACATCTTCCACATCCGACGTAAAAGGTAAAATAGTTGACAGACAAACAAAAAAATAACCTCAATCTGTGAACATGTCCAAAAAATACCCAAATGCTTCAATCCAATCAAAGAGATATGTCCAAAATAAAGAATGGGTCTTGTCGTCGTGCATCGTGAACGGAAAAACGTCCAAAGGTCTTGCACCGCTATCACCGAAAATCGCTGGAGAGGAAAACAGTATCAAAACACTCGCGTGCATGAATAAAACAACATTTTTACACAAAAAGATCAACACACGCATGAAAGCACTAACCTCAATCCATGAAAACGCATAAATGCTTCAACCCAATCGGAGAGATAAGTTCAGAATCAAAAATGGGCTTCACCACCGTTCTCATCGCCACTCACTGTGACCAAAAAACACCCAAATACCCAACGGAAATTGCACCACCATTATCGGAAATCGCTAGAGAAAAATCCTAAAGGAAAACAATGAAAAAACACTTGCGCGCACGAAAAAGACGAAGGTGCTGAGGGGAATAAAACAACTTTTTACGTCGGGCCAAAAGGGATCTGACGTAAAAATGGAAATCTACGTCGAACTGTACTTCATATCCGACGTAGATTTTAGTTTTTACGCCGGACCCGCTTTGGTCCGACGTAAAAAAGTTTAGATTAATTTCAAAAATGTCACTGCGTATTTTTTACGTTGGGTATTTTTGTAACCGACGAAAAAACGCTAACATAAAATACTAATTTTCTACTAGTGACGCATAATTACTAAATATGAGAATGGAGTGAAATAGTTTCTTTAGTTTACACAAAAGATGTTAAAAATAGTAATGGAACATTCTACTATCCTTGTGTGAATTGTTCAATTTGCAAAGGCATCCAATAGAAGTTATATGAGAGCATATTTTGTGTGATGTGTTCCTAAGAAGTTACAAAATACGAACATGACAAGGTGAATTGTTAAACATGTCACACATATAAGCATCTCAAAAACAAGATTAACAAGTCAATTTAGAGATGAACGATGGATTGGAGAACATGATTTGTGATGCTGGAGTTGATTCTTTCATATACGCACATGTGTATAGTAGTTTGTGCAGTAATGTGGGTGAAACTTTTGTGTCCAAACTAAGCTAATTTTACACAATTGTTTATGGTGTTAAGATTGTTCAATCTTAAGGCAAAAAATAGATGGACCAATAAAAGCTTTACAAAATTGTTTAAGTTGTTGAGCGACGTGTTTTCCAAAGATAACACATTGTTGACACATAATTTTGATTAAGGGTGGGTATACGGACCAATCTGGCACGTTTAAGGCTTGACCTGTGAAGCTTGCACTTTTAATGGGATAGATAAACTTGATCTGCAAAATAAATGGACTAATTTTTCTACTCCAAGTTTAGCCTATGAAGCTCGCAAATAAATGGGTCAATTCGTAGGCCCAATTATAAATACATTTGTAACATAAAAGTTGATATAAATACATATGTAACATAAAAAGTTGATATAAATACACAAGGAAAAAAATACATAAAAACAATTTATTAATAAATGGGCTACCCACGAAGTTCGCAGGTCGGGTCAAGAACTTTGCTATACCTATACGGATTAAAAAAAAAATTGGGCCCATATTCGTGCAAGTCGTGTACTAAATGAATTGGTTCGCGAACTTGAGTCCATATACCCACATCTAATTATGATGCGAAGAAGATATTATGTCTGATGAGTGTGGAGTATAAGAAATTCCATGCATGTCTAAATAATTAGATTTTGTGCAAGAGGAAGTTTGATAACTTACATGAGTGTCCACAATGTGGAGTATCACGATACAAACTGAAGAAAGGTAACTCTAAATGTGGGGTGAGCAAGGATCCTCCCGCAAAGGTGTTGTGTTGTCTTCTTGTTGTTCTAATATTGAAGTGATTATTTAGTAACGTCTATGATACCAAAAACATTAGGAGACAAGCATATAGATGGAAGAAAGATGGACAATTAAGGCATGAAACATATTCTTTGCAATAGAATAAAATAGATTTTATGTTTCCAGATTTCGACAATGATCCAAGAAATCTTAGACTTGAACTTGCTACATATGAAATGAATTTATATGGTAACCTAAGTAGTAAACACTATTCATGGCTTGTTTTGGTTGTGATTTACAACTTATCTCCATGGTTGTGCATGAAGCATAAATATATGATGTTATATATGATGATTTTGAGTTGAAAACAACTAGGAAACGATATTGATGTTTATCTAAACCCCCTGATTCAGAACTTAAGGATGTTGTGGAAGGAAGATGTTGATGTCTTTGATGAATTTTTTAACGAGATTTTTAAGATGCATGCTGTGTTTTTTTTTTTTGCATAATCAACAACTTTCCAACATATGGCAACTTGATTGGCTACAATGTTAAGGAACACAAAGTGTGACCTATATGTGAAAAGGGCACATCTCACCATCAATTGCAACATGGAAGAAAAATAGTTTACCTTGGGCATTAGAGATTTCTCAATCATAGTCATTTGAGGCGTAGATTAAAGAAAGCATTTAACGAGTGTTAGTAAAAGAAGTAGCTCTGACGCTCTAAATTGGTGACCAAGTTTATGAACGGATAAAGAAATTAAATACATGTGGTACATGAGAATAACGAAAAATAATTAAATACATGTTGTACATGAGAATAACGAAAAATAACTTAGTAAGAAAAATATATGTAAGAAAAGGCCAACATTTTTTAATCTAATGTATTAAAAGATCCTTGATGTGAGACGTTGTATATATGTCATGCATGTGAAAAAAAATGTGTGTAACAATATTATTGGAATGTTTCTTAACATTTAGGAAAAGATAAAAGATGGTGTAAATGCTTGTTTATATTTGGTTAAGATGGGTAAAGAAAATGTGGGTTTAAAAGACAAAAAATGGTTGAGGTAGGTGTAAATGCTTTCATGGTAAGAAAACATTTTTGTTCCCAACATGTCATACATTGTCTGAAAAAGAAAAAAGGGGAAGGGGGGGGGGGGTTGTGAGTGTTTACATGACATAAAGGTTCCATATGATTATTCTTCCATTGTTAAGAAGTTTGAATTAATGAAAGATCTTAAATTGGTGGATTTAAAATTTCATGATTGTCACATCTTGATGCAATAGTTGCTACCTATGGCAATTCAAGACTTATTATCTTAGAATGTTAGATATGTCATAACAAGATTGTGCTTATTCTTTAATACAATTTATAGTAAAGTTGGTGATCCTCAGAAGTTGGATGAGTTAGAGAACGAGACTGTTCTTATCTTGTGTTAATTGAGAATGTATTTTCCTCCATCATTTTTTGATATCATAGCTTGCTTAATTGTGCATTTAGCTAAAGAAGTTAGATTATGTGATATGATGTTCTTATGGTGGATGTACCCAATTGAGTAGTACATGAAAATATTAAAAAGGTATATGAAGAACCAACACCATTTAAAAGCATCCATTATAGAACATCCATTATAGAAGAAGCTATTGAGTTTTGTACAAAATACTTATCAAAAGTTGAAGTGACGAAGGTATTTAAGTCTCGTCATCATAGAAGAATTGTTGGTAAGAGTAAACAAAGTGCAAAAATTATCAACTACCTACGAGAAAATGTGTTGCAAACACATTTTTATATACAAAATAACACTGAGAAAATTGTACCTTACCTGACTACTCAAGGACATTATGAATAAAAAAACTTCACGAATAAAAATGGAAAAAGGCTCGAAAAAAGAAGTTTGCAGAGTACACATTTGAGGAAAATAAAATTTGAAAACAGTTTCAAAATCTGTTAATTATACATGTTCGGGTAATTTCTCATGATTATTTCACCTCTGTTAAGGGAAATACACATTATCTCATTTCATTAATGACCCGTAGTCAAGAACATGGCACATTAGCAAACTAGTGGACAACATTGGACTTGGAAACTGCATTCATGAACTCCTCATCTGATTCGAGCGCGCTCATTGTGTGTGGTAAAAGGCACACTTCCAAATCAATGCTTCCCCCTCCTTCACGACCTGGGTACGATGTTACTTTCCCATCAAATTTGTTGGCATAACCACTTCTAACAGCTATTGCTTTTCCCATTCCAAATTCATTCCCATACACGTTGAACCTGGGCGAGCTACCCATCATCACACAGAAGGGGTCAAAGAAACGACCCATTTGATATACGAAAGGGGATCGTAACCAGTATTGGAGAAATTGCAGCACCGCTCCATTGTTATGGTTTGCAACAGCCAAGTGCAACTTCCACGCTGCCCATCCTAGATCCTTCTCAAGCAATTCCCCTGTCGTCGTTTCTGCACTCACTGCATGAATTGAGTTTCCAAAGTATTCCTCAGCCAGAGGCGGTTCCATTCTTGACCGATTGTTGATGGCCATCTTGCAACTTGTTCTTTCCTCGTACGGCACGGACCGCGCACGAGTTATGGATCTCCATACCAGTGCTGATAGTGACTGGAATGAAGAGATTTTCGTGGTGTTCGACTCTGAGTTCGCCTTTGCTTTCAATTTCGCTATTGACTCCGCTGAAAAGTGGAAGATTCTCTCTCTCAGCAAGGGTGCTTCAAATCTGCTAATAAACTCCTCATGATGTTTGAAAGGAAGATTGATAGGTGGAAGACAATCATTGGGAAACCAGCGATTGTGAATGGGTTGGTGTAAAACGGGAACATCATAATCATTCCCTTGAGCTTGAGCTTGAGCTTGGAAGATGTGAGACCATGTATTGAAGAAATTCCAATAGGCAGCACCATCACCAATAGCATGGTTCAAGGAACAACCTATGAAAACACCATCCACTAGTTCAGTGACTTGGATAGTCAACAGCGACATGGTGTGACCATCGTGGTTGACTGCTTTGTGGTGATCAAAGAATGAGTGAAGAATGGGTGGAACATGAACGGGAGAAAGAAGGTCAGATATTGTGATATCCGAAGTTGCATAGATGAATCTTGCTCCATCAGCGTTGTTGCAATCAACAGAAACAACATAAGAGGGAGGGTCTTGAGTTTTGTGGGTGACAAGGCGGCCAGACAATGGATAGAAAAGGGAGAGAGTGTGAGAGAGAGAGGTCTTGAGACTGTCCAACAGATTTTCTATGAAATCTTGTTGATTAACAAGTGGCGTAGGCTTCTTGAAGAAGAGACCCTTTTGGATATAATGGGCAGACAACATAGCAACATCCCAAGGTGTTAAATTGCATATTTGAGTTGACTCTTGGATGGGACTATGTGGCTTCACGAAACATTCTGAAACACGTTGAACGCCTGGGGTACTCATTCTTTTTGCAGCCAGTGACATTCACACACCCACAGTTTAGATTTGTGATGCCGAGAACTTAGATATGCAGTATTTTATTCTAATTCTAAACGGAGGCATAGTTGTTACTCTTTATATAAATAAATATTGCAGTCGCTGGTCAATGCCGTGCAGCATCTATCCTTGCGCGAAACTTCTCTGTTAGATATTAGTAGGAAAAAGGCTACATTCTATTAAAAGAAAAAAAATAAAAAATTACTCATAAAAAATGTAATTATTAAAATATAAATTAAAAATAAAATAGTCTATATAAAAATAAAAATAAAAAATAATTATTAAAATTAGTATTTCTTGTATATCAGTATAAATTTATTAATTTTAAGTTTTTAAATTTAATTTAAAAATATTTTTAAAATAAAAATATATAATAATAAAAAAAATGAAGATCAAAATGATTATTAAAAAAAGAATATCTCATTTATATATTAATATAGATTTACTTTTAAATTACTAGTAACCATCACAATAATGTAAAGGTTTTGGAGAATGATCATGAGAAAAATAAAAATTAAACAGGGAAGTTGTTGAGTCTGAAAGGCCACGTTAGTCGAATATTATATTAATGATATCTATAATAAATGCAAATATATATTATTAAATTAGTTTAAAACAAAGTTTTAAAACACAGGTAAAATAAATAAATAAATAAACTCACTTTAACTTAAATTTAACGTGACCTAAGCCATGACGTTCAGACAAATGGCATAATTTTATTTTATTTTTTACGATATTCACATGGAAGGTATTTGAACATAAATAAATAATTTAACGTCTTAACTCATATGGTGTAAACTTAAAGAACGTTGTTAAGCATAGGTTACGTGTCTTTTTCCTGAAAATTTCAATAACTTTTTTGCATAGTCAAACAACTAAATTGTTTTTTAAATATAAAGTTTACAAAAGGTTCTTTTAAAATAAATTAGTTATATAAATTTTAATTTAGGAGAGATGAAAAATTCTTACTGTTTCAAGAATTTAATATCAGGGACATTAATTTTTCATATTTGATTTGTTATTTAAAAAATAACATTCATAGAAAATATTGTTTCTTATAAAATGATTTCTATATAGATTTTTCACAAAATTATTATCACATCAGTAATGAAAAACTAACTTTTTTGAAATACAAATTGAAACTTTAATGCGATAAAAATGTTAAATTATCTTTATTATTTATTAATATAATAAAAATCTTTCATTTTCAATTAAGATTTAAGAGTATTTTCATAAATAATTAAGTCGAATCAAACATATTTTTATGATTTATGAAATTTATTATTAACATGAATTTTTGATTCTCATATATAAATTTACCTAATTTAAAAGCGAAGAAATTATCTCAGTATCTCAATTTTCACTCAAACATGAATTTAATTTATACATAAATTTAATTTATATTTTCTGTTTTGAGAAATATTTTCCGTCTTGATTTTGTTTTATTACTAATATTACCTTGTCAAACACACGATTCATAAGGAAAGAACAATATATTATTTGAAGACTTTGTACACTTGCAGATATTTCGTATTAATAATTAGAAGAAAAAAAATAAAAAAATTACAACAAAAATTGAAAGTAAAACATAATAATAATAATAATAGTAATACTAATAAGTAGGGGTGACAAAATTAGTCGTGACCCACGGACTCATTATTCTAACCCGTCAACTCGTCAGGTCCGTCCCGCTAAATCCGTCAACCCGTTGATAATTTTTTTTGTAATTTTAATTTTTCTTTTTAATATAATACGAGCTAGTCTGTTGACTCGTGAACCCGCTAGCCTATATTTAAGTAAGGTGAACCAACATTTTTAGTCCATTTCTCAATGACAAGTTGAGCTAGCCCATTCCATTTTTAGCAACCCGGGCCAAAACGAAGCGGGCTGGCCGCTTTGTCACCCCTACTAATAAGATTATGGCAGATGATAAACACACCTCCACTCTCGTATAAATACACCTCCTTTTATATAAAAAAATATAAAATGTCTAAATTACCCTTTTTAAAAAAAATGAAATTCCTAAACTTACACCTCCCTTCCCCTCACCCCCTTTCCCCGCACCCCACACTCCACACCCCTCTTCTTCCCAAAGCCTTTTTTCGCTCAATGTCATTAAGCAATATACTTTTATAGTCATTCTGAATAGAAAAAAAGGACTAGCCCCACCATAACCAGCATAAGAAAGGTTCTTTTACAGTCATTAGCATTCCGGAATAGTAAAATTATTGTTTATATAATTCCGGAAAGAACTTTCCGTAATAGTAACTTTAATATTATGGAAAGTACTTTCCGGAATTATGTAACAAAACATTTCCAGAAAATACTTTCCGGAATAAGAATTTAATATTATGGAAAGTATTTTCCGGAAAGAACTTTCCGTAACAGTAAGAAGAAGAAGAAGAGGAGTGCCAGAAAGAGAAAGAAGAGGGGTGTGCGAGGTGCTGAAAAAAGAAGAAGAAGAAGAGGAGTACCAGAAAGAGAAAGAAGAGGGGTGCGCAATGTCTTACTTGTTCTATGAAAAGACACACTAGTACAAAAATGACTTTTAAAATCGGAGTTTTAAAATCAGTTATAAGGTAGCCATTTTAAAAGTGATGCGGTGGCCTGTACTGCAACAGAACGACCCTAGAATGGCCCGTTCTGCAAGCAGAACGGCCTGTACTGCTTTCAGTACGGCCCGTACTGCAAGCAGAACGGGGCGTTCTGCAATCAGAACGGACCGTTCTTCTTGCAGAACGACCCGTTCTGGTGTCGTTCTGTGAGGGGAAGGGAGGTGTAAATTTAGGAATTTCATTTTTTTTAAGGATAATTTAGACATTTTATATATTTTTTTTAAAAGGGAGTGTATTTATACGAGAGTGGAGGTGTGTTTATCATCTGCCTAAGATTATTTGTGTACTTTTCTTATCAGTAAAATATGGCCCAAACAAAAGAGGGAGAGTTTTATAAATTAGATGAAATAAAAGAATAATATAAACATTAATTTACAACACAGAATAAACCTGAAACTAATCGTTTTTAGTGCAATGATATGGTGGGCTTTTTGACCAAAGTGGGGTCATTGACCAACTTATTTACGTAAATGAGACTCTTTTGAAAGTATTTACGCCTTTGGGGCTGTTTATAACGGTGTCGCTATGGCCCATAGCGACACCGGTGACACGTGTCATTTTTTTTTGCCCAAAATGGGCTGGACTGAGCCACATCAGTGTCGCTATGGGCTGAGCTACCATAGTTGATGGACCAACAGAAATGATGTAGCCCATAGCGACACCATGTAAGAAAAAAAAGAAAAAACAAAAATAATTTAAATGTAACTTAAAAATAATAAATTGAATTATTTATTATATATTTATAAAAATAAAAATAAGTTGTTTAAAAACGTAATTTTAAAATATGTATTTTAATTATTTATAAGAGTGGCGCTATGGCCTATAGCGACACAGTGTCGCTATAGGCCATAGCGCCACTAGTTTATTTGTTTTTTTTTT